TCACTGAATGCGCTTATTTACTGATGGGCTAGCATGTTTTAGGATACTGCTATGAATTTGATATATGCAATCAGTGGGAACTATGGTGATAAGGAGTCACATGTCACCACTGCTACGGATTTAGCCAAAAAAGGATCGGTATTTCTCGGCCAGGATGGGATGTCTGCTGTAGAGAATGCAGTAGATGCTGAGGTTTTTCTTTTTTTGTTTTTATTAACTCGATAATTCATGTAAGTGAGAGCGTTAGTAGCGTGAGCTAGTCAGCATTGGGGGAAATTCATAAATAGTTTAGGCGTTTGATATAGGACCATTCGATAATTTTAAAAGTATCAGCTCACTAGCGGACAGTTCAAAGGAAATCTCTTAGAGCTTCGTTCCTCTCGCAAAGATTTGTTTTGAATGTAGTGTTACTTGTTTTGGCATGTTGTCTCTGAGCTAAACGGTTTTTTTAGCGTATAAGAATCCAGCCTTCATTCCCTGCAACTCTGCAAGAGACGCACGTCAACAGTGGCTATCAAAATCAACAAGCTAATCGCAGTATTATTCTTCCTGTAAGTTGGCCATTTTCTGTGAAACTTCGGCCCCTGTAGTCAGCGCAATGATGAAGACTATTTGAAACGCCTTCGATCCATGTCTGTTTGGTGACACCACTATAATGGGTCTGTAGTTATGTTCCTTTGATCTGCTGTTTCATAGTAAAAGTGGCAATTTTAGGCAGATATCTAGTATTAACCGCTCCTGAATGCCCATCGCCCTCGCATTCTGTTTGCTGTTTTTCGGAATCAGCAACAGCGTATTGTTAAGGGCAAAGAAGGAAAACCGTTTTAGATATTGAAAAAGGAGTTTTTGTGTTGACTGTTATGTGCTTGCTGATACCAGTGACCTTTCCTAACTGATTGCTTTGGCATAATGCCGAATTTTTGAGAAGAAACGAATAGGTTTTCGGGCAGATTTTTAGTTTGCTAGTTACTGCTTCGTCATTATGTTCAATTTGGATGCATCCGGCAGCCGCTTAAGTCAGAAGAATCGTTTACTGTAGCTTTCTCCAGAATCATCCCTTCCAAGAAGAATTAGGGCTGGAAGCTCTTGCACTGCTCATCCCTTCCCTGTCTGAGTTTTCAGTGATTACCGGGAGGGACGGAGGAGGGGGAGGCATAGGGAGATGGATATCCTTGATGCAGGGGAGGCAACTGGTATCAAGTGCACATCATATCTATGTGAATTTCGGTCCCACAACTGGCGAGAGTGGGTGTGTGTGTGTGTGTGTTGGCAGTTTGTGAGGCACTCGAACAACTCATCTGTACAAAGGCCTTCCGGATGAGCTTCCTCCCTAGAGCTTCTCCGTCCAGATTTTTCCTGCTTATCGTGCAAGCTGTACGGAAACTGTAACAAGAAGGGAAAGGGAAGAAGTCGGTAGAGAAGTACGGGGAACCGTTAACCAGAGGACATAAACTACGTTCTTGCATATCCAGTTAGTTGTTAACTTTCGCGTGGGCTGGAAAATGGATTCAAAAATGCCAAAAAAATGGATTCAAAAAAATGTGTTGACACTTTCATCGTTAGTGAATGAGGCATGGTGTGTCTTCGTCCCAGGCAATCTTCCGATTTGTCAAACAAAAGCGAGAAAGCACGCATTTTCGATGCTGCAGTGACGGAGCGTTATGCAGAATGTTCATTGTCTTTGTTTTCGTACGATTTCTTCAGCCCTTGACTTAACAAAGTCTGTTGCAGGAGCAGCAACAGCAGCAGCAGCAACAACAACAACAACAACAACAACAACAACAGCAACAGCTTGCAGTAGCAAGTCCACGTACTTCGCGTATTCCCCGAAGTAAATTGCTGCAGCAGTTGGGGTTCTTTCATGGAGCTCAATCTCCTCCGAAGTATACAATTAATCGGACTGCCGTCTCTTTTAAAACTCCAAAACGAAGTGTAGTAGCTGCAGTGGAGCATGCAAATGTGGAAGATCGCACGCCATCATCACCGATCGGTGCACTCAGAGCAATTTCACAGTACAGTTCTCCTTCCTCATCAGTAAACGTATGTTTTTTTAATTGAATTGACGCTCATCAATGGCCAAAAATATTTGTGATTGTAAACATTTTAATCCACGTTTTTTTTTAGCAAAGCACTGTACACGATAGAGATTTAACGACAATATCAACACGTTCGCGGGATAGCGCAAAGCG